AGGAAAGACAAAGGAGGCAGCTCTGGAAAGGCAGGTTTTCATTCCGATCACCACTCGGTTGGATTTCCCTTCCCCTGTTTGCTTGTCTAGTAAATGGAGATAACAAGCTTCCCCTCTTGCCGCTATCTATCGGGAGGGCAAAAGGGAAACGCAGAGCCAAAGTGTCTGCCCATCTGATGGGGCTCCCGAGGAGGAAGGTCTCTCTGTTTCTCTCTCAACTTGCAGTCCTGCCGGCTCCCCGAGTCAGCTTCGGTCTGTCCACTAGGACCCCACGCCTAGACCTTGGCTCTGCTGTTTGCCTATGAATTTATCTCCTCTTTGCTTCTCGCTATTTCTTCTTCTAGACGAGCCATGACTTAGGCTCCGTGCTGCTTCCAATTACCCAGAAAAACATCCTTCCCGTTTCACTGAACATGATAGCTGGGGCACTGATCTGTCAGCGAGATTAGCGAGGTGCTTCCAGAGGGGACCGCAAGGCCCACTTGCCTTCTTGGTTTACACATAGCTCACTCTCTAATGCGATGTGGCACCACACTCAGACACCCTGAGCATACGGATGTGAAGGGCTCTCTGGCACCAGACAGGAAGCTCAGTGGCCCTCGACAGGGGCCAGGTATTAGCAGCATCCTCAGAGGACAGACCTTGGATGCCCCAGACTACCCAATCTTGAGCTCTGACTCCTGCATTCAGCAATTTTCTGTTCAGCGTTTGCCCCCACATAAAGCAGAGTTGCACATAGACTAAGCACACAGCACTCCTCTTCCTTCTTTGGGTCTTGTGAGAAAGACGGAGTGCCTCTGGAATAGGGTTAGGACAGGGGGAAGGCTGGGCAGGGAAGGGAAGAAGGTGGAACAGGATTGTTGTTCTACTTAAAACCAGTACCGAGGTAGAGGCATCCCCCAGAGGCATCTATAACAAGCCTCTGCTGAGGTTTCCTCGACATCTCTCCTCCTTGGCAACTTTCGCCCTTTCCCAGAGGCTCCAGAATGTGGCATGGGCTGGCTGAAAAGGAAGCTGAGGGGTACCTCCTCTGCCAGGCCTCCAGATGGAAAACAGACAGGAGAGGCTACTCTCCCCCACCACCACTTAAGAAGCAGCTGCCTTCAAAGCAAAATTGACTCTCTTCTCTCTTCCCCTCCAAACTCCAAAGTACTTTGCCAAACAGATGAATAATAAGAAAAGTGACTATTTTCCTTTATGTTAATAAATTGCTCTGGCCTCAAAAACATTAATCATTTTCTTTCCAAAGCACACATGCTTCTCCATACTCTGCTATTTGCCTGGCCCTGAAAAGAAAGTCACTTTCAATCCCCTTTAAATTGTCAAGACCGGTGGAAGCAGTTGCAAGACGGGTGTGGGGAGCTAAGTCCCAGTGATTATAATGGAAGCCTGCAGTGTTTCCATAGAAACATAAAGAGAGTATTCTTTCCTGAATGTACATAGAGGGGAGGAGTGAAGAGTGATGCTGCTGGCAAGGTATACAATTATCCAAGAGCTGAAGGTATGAACGCCGCATTTGGTCTCGAAGATAGGAAAACAAAAGAATTAGTTAAGAGTGGAATGAATAGAGACAAGGTCCGACAGGAGGACATTTTCCCTGCTATTGTGTCCCATCTGCATACCTACCCATCTTTATAAGCGCTACTTTCAGCGAGTCTTAGAAAGAGAAGCCTCTTGCCACGGTCGCCAGTCCGGAAGCAGGAGGGTCTCCGTTCAAACCTAAGAGAATTCCACTCAGTCTTGCTCTATCCTCTACACCGGGCTGCGACTCAAATTGCAATGAAGAAACAACCGTTTACATTCTGCCTCCTGGCTCTCCCTTTCCTGGCCTGCCAATTGCATACACATTCAGAGCAGATTTTTTTCTAATTGTTTTTGGAACTTCACTGTGAGCCACTACAAACTTAAGTGGTTTGCTTTTTATGTTGCATGGATTAATTCAGGGATGTCATAGATAAGAGGGAAAAGAGTTGGTTTGTGTACGCACACATGCTTGCGTGCGTGTGCGTGAGAGTGTCTGTATGAGTGTATGTGTGTGGGGGGGTGTTCATTTGATTTGGTAGAGGTTATAGATTTGGTAGAGGTGTATGGATGAGGAGTTGTAAAGTTGAGGCAAATGAAAAGTGCATTTTGAAAGCACATATGAGTTCAATCGTTGCTTGACATTCTTATAGTTAATATCTCTTACAGCTGGGATATATTTCTAGTTTACTGTTGTATTTCTTCAACACAGAATTATATCGGGTCAGCACAGAATGAATAGTTGATGAAAGAATGGAGGGTAGGATGATTCTGTGGATATACCAGATAGCATAGAAAGCTCCTAGAATGAGGAGGGCTGGTCACCCACTTTGGCACATCTGGTGTTCTAGTATGAAGGTCACTTTACTGCAGTGGGGGAAGGGAGAGAGAAGAACTATTTCAGAAGCTAGAACTGTGAATATGTATGTTCCCTATCTATGAACTAGAGCTGAATTCATACTTCATTCATTCATTCATTCATTCATCATCCTGTTATTCGTCGATTGCCTCGAGCAGGCCCCAGTAACGTCTCTTTCATCCTAGCCCTGAGATTATATTCAAGGCTCTTTAGGAGAATGAGACCCATCATTATTACTGGTATTTGGCATATTTGGTACGCCACGGGGAGTTTGCCAGACTCTGTCCTGTGGGCAGGCTACATTCGATAGCCTGCAAGTTTGTCCAAAATAGGAATGAATTCATACTAACATACTGAAAAGTATGATAGATAAGCTGATGGTGGCATATGGCAGCTGATGGCCGACAGACACCCACCCCATGCCCAGAGGTAAACAGGGATGCCCAGCCAGGCAGTGCATCCTGGAGGTGGGAGTCTTAATGAGTGAGTTAAGGGTGTTTCAGTCAGGCAGACCCTGGGATAAATGGTCCCTAATGACTCTTGATGTTAGCTTGCACCTACTGGGAACACAGAGTCATGGGAACAGTATGCTAGGAGGCCAGGACATCTGTCTTTCTGTGTCAGCCTACTGCTCTCTCTGTACCTAGCTCTCTCTGTACCTAGCATAAAACACAAGGAAGATGCTCACTGACCATCTGAGCACACAGTGCTTTATCCTACACTGTAAGTGTTAAAACTTGAGAGATCCCTTGAGTTGAAGATGAGAAATGACTTCCCCAAGGTCTCACATTTAAACATACATGGAACTTTGTTCTGAAAAAAAAAAACACAGTCTGTGTTTCCTCATTACTAAGATCAGACGTGTGTCCTTATAGAAGGGATTGGGGGTCAACAGAAAGTCAAAGGGGACCAGAGAGACGGATCGAAAGTTTGAAGCACATGCATTCCATGCAGGACGCCTGGGTTCTGTCTATGGCACTGTGTGGTTCCCCAAACACTGCCAAGAACAACACCCTGAGAATCATGCCAGAGTAGCCCCTGAGCATTACCAGGTATGCCACATCAACATGCAGAATAATGGGGATCTGATCTGGGAACTTACCCAGGTATAGAACATAAACGACCAGACATTCTTTCCCAAGGTGCCCAAGCACCAGTGCCTGCTTGGGGTTGGCTGGGCTATGAACAGGCTCCCTGGCTCTCCGATGCTTTGGCCCTACCTTTTCTCTCCCAGAAGCACCAGTGACAAGGTGCTGTCTGGGGGCTTCATTATTCATGAGTGGCAATCAGAATTTCTCTTTGCAGCAATGTTAACTTTGTTCGTGGCTCTCTGGAAGGTGTCATGGGGATAGCAGATAAGGACACGTATCCCTTAAAGACAGCACTTTTGCAGCCCTGGACAGAAAGTCTTTGGCCAGTCATGCCACATTACAGACCAATATGGGATCTTTGATCTTCCCTAGGAAACTCTCTTTTCTCCCTTGTTATACATGGGGATGCCCTGTCTTCATGAATCTATGTTTCTGCCACTTGCCACACTCCAATGCTGACTCCCCACCTTTAGACCTTCCAAGAGTTCGAATATGACACTGGGTGACACATGAGCTAAAATCTTAAGAACCATCTTGTAAGAATCCCTGCACTGGAAACTCCTTTATAAAGAAACCTTCTGAGGAGCAAAGTGGACAGCTGAGGACAGAGGAAGGCCTCGCGCACCTAGAGGTCTGCAGTAGTCATTCTTGCTTTCCAGGTGGACAATCTCTCAGTGGTCATGGAGTATGGGCCCCCTCCATCCACAGGCCAGAGTTTTGAGTTCCCTGCACTTTGCACAACCTCTGGGAACCTGGAGCCCTGGTCCCTGACAGACTGAAGGTTACCATGCAATGAAATCTGTACACCGATGACTCCGAATACAAACAAATTAAGTTTTTTTTAGAAAAAAAAAGAGTGAGGGGGGAAGGTTAGGAAATGGCAAAGGGGAGCATATAAATCCATCTGTATTGAAGAATATAAAGTTCCCCAAGACACACTGTTAAGATAACACTAACGACAGTAAGAGCAAGAGGAGCTAACCCATGTGGAGCAGTAAGGACATCCAGGCACCACTCCGAGGAGTTCATCTCTATTCTCTCACTTGACACATACTCATTTCGAAGAAAGGCTTTGAGGTAAGTGCTATTATTATCTACATTTCACAGATGAGGAAACAGTTCCCAGTTTTATTGTATATCCCCTTGTATTATCTGAAGATTTTGCAATGAGGAAGTTTTCGGTATAATGGCAATTTTAAAAATTAGGGGTGATAATAACAGTTAGAAAGAAACTGGGACAATATATACCGAGCATCTGTTATCAGGAGCCAAAATTCAGTCCCATTTACGCTTAATAAGGATAAGTGTACTCAAGTGGAAAGATTACTGATATCAATTTTTCCATACTCTGGTATGAAAAATTGGGTTCAGAGAAGTGGTACCATTTTCCCAATACACACGGTTGCCCAAAGGCACATAAGCAGCTGGACACGATCTCAAAGCCCCCCTTTCATGTCAGTTGGATATCGGAAGTGCAAACCAGTATGCATTAATTTGAATTTATTTTTCTTCTTTCCTCTGTGTTTCAGTGTAGAATATGATTTTCGACAACAGGAAGGCAGGTTCCATGAGGTTCTACAGAATCTGGAGGAAGTAGAGCCAGCTGAGGAGATGTCTCCCCCACCAAAGTCCCCAGCAGAACCTCCGATCCCTGAGAAACAGGACATGAGGCGGAAAACCAAAAAGGTGAAGAAGAAATGCTTCTGGTGGATCTGAACTCTGGGGGACCATTCCTCTGCCGTCCACTTCCCTGGACACCTCCCTGATGTGAGGAAGCACTGCCTCAGGCCTTCTCAATTCCTTGAGTGGTTGTGAGCCACTTAACCTGCAGAACAGGAAAGAGCTGAGCTGGTTTGGCCACTGATGGACACTTGACCACAACCTCACCTGAATGAGTGCCACTGCTTGCTGAGGACTCCTGGTACACTAAAGTGATCACTTGTCACGCGCCCTGCCATCCATGGCCAGGCTGTGTCCCTGTTTGCTAGATTCTCCCTGTAATAGAGCCCCTGTGGTACTTTCCAACACCTCTGTGATGCTAAGCACCTTCCACCTTCCCATCCTGGGCTCATGATCCCAGGAGAATGAAAGGAGCAGGAAGCTCAGGGAAGGTTATCAACAGGAACGCCGGGGCGTGGGAAAAACATAGGTACACAAACTAGCAGTTTTCTGAGATACTGGAGTACATTAGCACAACAGAGGCCTACAAATGCAAGATCAACCTGGTGGGTTGCGTATTTTTCATCAGTCCTTGATCCCAAAGCAAGGATCTGTCATATGCGGTGGCAGAGTCCAGTCAACCCAGGGCCTAAGGGACTCGGTATGGCTGTCCTGATGCTGTAGCTGCTCCAAGGCCATCCTGCTTCCTGGTCTGGGACCTGAGACAGACAGCCAAAGGCTGGGATAGGGTTTGGGTCTGAACTATAAGATTCCAGTGTTCATTTTCCTGCAACATGATCCATGAGATCCTGCAGTCTGTCCGTTTGATCTTACCAGTAACACACATAAGACAAAGATAGATCACAACGCTGATTTTCACAACGAGTTTTCATTCGTCCCCACAATAGCCTTGTAGATAGGTTCAAAAGTATCTATTAATCTACACACTCTCCCTCCCTGGCAGTCAGGCACCGGTCACCTGATTGAAGACACAGCAGGTCTGAAGATAGGTTATATATATATTTTTTCCTTTTGGCATTAAAGACCTTTCTGTCCCCAAATCTGGATTCTTTTAAAGTCTGGCTCATTCTTTTGATAAGACTAGCCCATACATGTGGGGTCCAGTCAAACTTGCATGGCTGAACGAACAAAATGCTAGAGTAATAGAACTAAGTAACTGCTGCATACTCTTGGGGATGAGGGGTAGGTTGGCAAGACTCATACTCCTTAGTTTAATTTTTCCACCAGCCTCAGGAAGGGGACCCTAAAGGCCATGCTCGTTCGGTGAAGGAGGCATGTCAGGAGTCTCTGCGAGTCCCTGCAGCATGCAGAGGCCCGTTGTGGACGCGGGAAACGCAGACCTACTGCAAAGTGAGATGAGCTGAGCAAACCTCTCCGGCAGTTTCACCTTCCCGTCACCACACTGCAGTGCAGAAGCTATTTCAGTGAGGGTGAGAGGGAAATTTGGCAAGAAATCTCGGCTTGCACTATTTAAGTCTGAGGATGTCATTCAAGATGTTCTTGTTCTGCTTCTAGTATAATGTTTAAACCCACAAAATGAGAACAGAATACTTAATGTTAAGTTAGAATTAAGATAAATACACTTGTCATACTTAAGAAGCCACATTTCAATAAGACGTGCTGCCACTGGCTAAAAGCCACCAAGCTTTTTGTACCCACACAATCAGCTAAGTCTCTGTTGGCTCCAACCATGGAAAAGAACAGCACCGGGGATAGTTCAATAAAGCAAAAAAAGCATCTGGGATCTCTTACATAATTCTATCTCATAGTAGAGCTTCCATTTTAATTTGCTCTGCTGACATGAATTTTCAAATTAATTTATCGTTTTGGGCAGCATGCTAGAATGAAAATAATCCTGCTCCTGAAATTAAGAGGCACAGGTAACAGAGCAGTACATTCCACTCATCGTGGCAAAACTGCTTACAATTTCAGGGCCCGTTTATCTATTTTCGAATGAGGTTATAAACACCTGCTCTACCTACTTCATGAGCTCTGTGCACATCCCAGCATCCAATGAGCAGAGCCACCCAGGGCTGAGCTGTTCCATTTGCCAAATGACAGAGAGAAGTCGGAGGAGCTCAAAGAACAGGTAACCCAACACTTGGATGATCCAGGAGGATCAAGGTCTCCTGCACATGTGTTGATACGGGGGCTTAGGTAAGCCCTCCCCTGGAGGGAAGGAAATGGGGGCGGGAAATGTTGAGAGAGTGAACAGTGAAACCAGATGAGGTGACAATGATCCTATACCAAAGCACAACACAGCACTGCTTAGGCCACTAGGAGATGGGTCTCTTTCTGAAAATAGAACATTTAAAACCAGGATGAACAAAAAAGATTCAGTAAGCACCTTCCTGCTAAACAAAAGTGATCTTCTTTATGTTAACCCAGACATACACAGACAAACACCAAAACTCATATACTCATGTGAAAATAGCTTCTTTGTAAAATATTATGTAACATTTATCATGATATTCTACAGAAATGCTGTACTTGAGGTTATATGGTTTAATGGACAGATATTAATTTAGAAAACATTAGTTTTATAAAGTGGAACGGGAAAAGACCAATATATCAATTTAAGTTTCAGGAGTTTATGTAGCTGCTTTCTCTGTAGTTAAAAAATGCATACTTACTATATTTGGAACCTAATACTAGCTCATCTATAGAGCACCTTCTCAAAGACTGTGTACTTAATGTAATGTTTTGTAAATTTCTAAACTGTTTTAAATGGGATATTATCTTTTGCAATAAACTTACATATTTTTCCTAGGTTTTAAGATTCCATTACTTGTGTGAGTTGATTTGGGTAATAAAACTGAAACTGAAGAAGGACACCCTGACCATCCATCAGCCAGGGATGTGGTTCAGGACAGACCACTTGCTTTGCATGAGTGAGCCCTTGAGTTTGATTCCAGCATCAGAAAGGAGGAAGAGGGAGATGAGGAGGAGGAGGTGGAGAAAGAGGAGAAGGAGGAGAAGAGGACAAGAAGGAGGAGGAGGAGGAGGAGGAGGAGGAGGAGGAGAAGGAGAAGGAGGAGAAGAGGACAAGAAGAAGGAGGAGGAGGAGGAGGAGAAGGAGAAGAGGACAAGAAGAAGGATGAGGAGGAGGAGGTGGAGGAGGAAGAGGAGTAGGAAGAGGAGGAGGAGGAGGAGGAGAAAGAGGAGGAGGAGGAGGAGGAGGATACTTTGCCCATCCTACTCACCAGAAAATGTTTCCTTATAAGCACTTCTATATGTCTCCCTCACACATAGAACAAAGTAGAAATTTAGAATTTAGTCCCATAATAAACACACGAATCCCATGTATCCTGAGCAGGTGAGGCGTGACACAGGGGAACTGCTCCTAGCTTCATTCAGATGGATACCTGTTTAAGATTTTATCTATACACCCACATACACTTGAGCCATAATTTAACATTTCTCTTCAATTATTTTATCCCATAATTTTCTTCCTTAAAGGCAACTTTATATCCACACCATGAGGAAGCCCATGGTGATGATCCAAATATAGAAGATGAAATGAAAATGATGGTATTAAATTCTTGTTAGAGATTGCTGAGTGTTGAGGGAACATGTCTAACTCATCTTCTTAACTTCAAAGGTAAAATGCAAGTGTTCCTCAGCTGTTAAACCGCTGTAGCCATGAGAAGAGTTCATTGTCCAGAGAGGCCGATTGTACTGCTGATGCTGCGAGCTCTCCTCACCACTGAGCTTGGTTATTTAATGTGCATCCTCATGGCTTCTGGGCTTATTAAAGCCAGGAGGAGTTTATTCTTTATCAACACCCTTATTTGCCCTGAGAAAAATCTTTATGGGGGGAGGGTGAAATTTCAATTGTGAAAGATAGTGTGAATGCTGAGTCTGCGACTTCATGCCCTTGAAGTAAGGTTAGCCCCCCACCCCCCTCCAGCAAGGGCTCCAGGAACTACACGGGGGAGTCAGGGTTGGGGGCTCCGTGGGAGTGCTACCAGACATCACAGCACAGGGCACTTCCAGCAATCACTGATACTGGACTGGAAACCTACTCTGACCTCCACGTAATGTTAGTTGAGCAGAGGTCTCAGTGGAACCTACTTTGAAAAAGGCTTTCATTTAAAACTGCCCCAGATAATGGACATATGCTGAAAACATATATCCTTTACAGTTTCAAGCAATATGGATGTTTTATGACAATTAAGCGTGTAAGCATTGCCTGAAGTAAAAGAAATTGAGGGGGCTGGAGCGATAGCACAGCGGGTAGGGCGTTTGCCTTATACGCGGCCGACCGGGATTCGATTCCCAGCATCCCAAATGGTCCCCTGAGCACTGCCAGGAATAATTATTCCTGAGTGCAGAGCCAGGAGTAACCCCTGTGCATTGCTGGGTGTGACGCAAAAAGCAAAAAAAAAAAGGAGAAGTAAATCCATACCCAACAGTGTTTGTGCTTGGTGCAAACTCTGTTTGCCTGGCTTGATGGTCATATCAATTCTCATCCCATCTTCTCTGGATCCCTACCGATCACATCTTATCAGCCCTACTAGTGTAGCACTGTCCTCCAGTTGTTCATCGATTTGCTTGAGTGGGCACCAGTAATGTCTCCATTGTGAGACTTGTTGTTACTATTTTTGGCACATCAAATATGCCAGGGGAGCTTGCCGGCTCTGCCATGCGGGTGGGACACTCTCGGTAGCTTGCTGGGCTCTCTGAGAGGGATGGAGGAATCGAACCCGGGTCGGGTGCGTGCAAGGCAAATGCCCTACCCGCTGTGCTCACACAGATTTCTTTTGCTCTCCTACAGGACCCTCAGGTCATGAATAACAAGCTTAGGTCATGATCTTCTCATTGTCAAACTAAGCCAGGTCCCAAGGAAAGTGTGCTGTCCACTGCTGGCCTCCTGCTCCAAACTCCCTTTACTCAACTGGCCTCCAAAGACCCTTGCAACTGGTCTCACATGTGCCCCCTCCCCCTGCCAGTGTTATTTTCCTCACAGCAATGGAAACAGTCACTGCAAAATTTAGATCCGAGACACGGCACACTGTGGATGAAAACCACTTCATGGCTTCCTGACAGATTTCAGAGAACCAGGAACATCACTATGACCAGAAGGCCCTGTCAGCCTCTCCCAGGGAAGCTTCTACACAGCCCTTTCACAGAATTCCTGCACCCCCTTCGACTCCTTGGAGTCACTAGAGGAACACTTGCTTACAGGGTCTGTGTACACCCTACGTTCCGCCTGAAAACATCCTCCCTACTCCAAAGACTTTCCGCAAGTACCACACCAGCCCTAGACCAGACACTTCGCATTGCTTCACCCGAGGTCAGGGTCCTCTCCACCAAAGACTTGGGCTCATGTCTCCCCGACCAAACAGATTTCTCTCTTTCTGTGAAGACTGTCTCTCGTTAGACTGATCTTCCTATGGTAGG